CGCGACAGCTGCCGCCGCGTTAAAATGGCTACAATGTAACATCTTTTCTGCCTTTGATGCTTCTTGAGCCGCGGCTGATCTTCGAGGATTTAAAAAAAAAAGTATATATAGATCCATATAGATATATAATTATTCTTTTGGAAAAGCAGCAACGTCTACGCGAAACGCAGCGAGGTCTTTCGACAGGGAAATGGTACGTGGCTGTTTGCGAACCCGAAGGGGTGTGTGTTTTGAGGTTCTTTTAAAAACATTGTTGTGTTTTAAGCTCTTTTTTCTCTCGAGGTCCCGCCTCTGTCTATCCTATCCCCAATTTGATTCCTTTTTGTTGTTGTTGATGCAAGCCACGCTTTCCACGTTCACCGCGATCAGAGAGTGGGTTTGCAGTTGATCGGGGCGCTTTGCCTGGGGAAATTGCCTGAGGCCCGGAAGGGGAGAGGTGACGACGGTTTCTTCAGAAGGTTGGCTTGTTTCTCTCGGTCCGACTGGATGATTGTTACGCTAGGAAACTCTGTGAAGGCTTTGCCCCGTCGGTGCAGAAGAGACTAGAGCTTTGCCCTGAATTCCGACGCAACAGCTTGAGGATGGGATGTACATTTGTGCGGGTGTCACAGATTAGAGACCGAACTGGATAGCAATTGTCGTTTATCTAACTCGGGTTGTGTCTGAATGTGCCCTCCTATCTTATCAGGTCGTTGTTAGCGTCCCTAAAAAATAGCACAGCGTTTCGCACGCTGCAGAAAAAGATTATGTATTTGTTACTGAATGTTCTTGTTCTTATGTAAGAAGTTGTCTGTTGAGACAATAGGCATACGCATCGCAGTATTAACTTTGCAAAGCTTTGTCTGGGCTTAATTACATATAGGGCCTAACAGGAAGATGTTAAAAGTTTTTTTCCCTCTCTGTTCCAAGTTGAATAATTGAAGGAAATGCTTGCAGACAACTCTGTGGCTAGAACTGATCTGAGTTGCCAGAATAAGTTGCTGGCCAAAGTGTTTCTTCCATTCCTTTCTCCAGATGAGTTGGCCTAGCTTGTAGTGCCGCTCCTTTGAATGGAAAAGCATAGATTAATGGAAGTTTTAATTCGCTTTTGCTAATTGTAAAGTGCTGATCATCATTTGCCTGGCCATTTTTCCCCTCATTAATGCTGGCTTTATATTTTTAATATTTTATTGACCCCAACCTTTTATGAGGTAATTCCTTTGGAAAATCACTATGGATAAATATGTGTAAGGCTGTATTCTAAATTTACAGAGTATAACCTTATCCAATTTGATGACTACCAGATTTGTTGAGTAATCCCATTATACTCAGCATCACTGGCCCCGCTGTTTGGAGATAACAGGAGCTGAAGTCCAATGTATTTGGATGGCATCAGGTTGATGAAGGCTGTGACCTACTTAACTTGGAGCTTAACTGGGGAGGTCAGGCAATTTGGGAGGGAATTTTTTTACTTGTATATTCACATACACGGGGGTGTGACATATTTTTATACACACCAACCCAACTGCTCCAAATGCAGAGCTGTGTGATATATGAATGCAAGCCCAATACCAAAACACCAATATTCAGATACCAGTAAGAGAACATCTTCAGTTGCTCTGTTGCTGACCTGGAAAATGCCATTGCCTGGTGGAGGAATTTCAAAGCAAGATACCTGTGTGAAATAGCTGGTTTTATTCTATTAATTTGGAACTAAATAGAGATTATACTTTTTGGGGGGTGGGGGGCTTCAAATATTAACCTACTTCGGCAGGTTAAGGTTATTATGTTATCAGTTCTTTCAGCAGTAAATGGCCATTTTGCTTATGTTGTCTATATTTAATATCAAACTGAACTATCACTCTGTGGGTGTAGCATTAAATGCTGTCTTCATATTTTCTATATTCCTACATGCATATCTGACAACAGGGAAATAGATACTGGTCTGCAAAAGGTACTCCTATACTATTGACAACAGAAGTGGTGATCTATACATGTTATTCTTCTTTTAAAGATGACCTTTTCAGTGTCTGCTAAGAAAAGGAGAACCATTATACATAGTGAGTTTTAAAAGGATCAGAAGGAGAGGAAGGAAATGTCCTGAAGTTTTGATTTGTTCATTTTAAAGTATTGCAAGATTAGGAGAAATTTCCAGCTAGTAGCAGATTTGTATTTTAATTTCCTTATTACCAGAACTCCCTATTCTGGGGAAAGCCCTGACCTATTTGTAGTGTGCTAGTTGAAACTACAGGGCCAGTTTGGTGTAGTGGTGAAGGCATCAGGCGAGAAATCGGGAGACTGTGAGCCCTGCCTTAGGCACAAAGCCAGTTGGGGACCTGGGCCAGTCACCCTCTCTTAGCCCCAGAAAGGAGGCAATGGCAAATCACTTCTGAAAAACCTTGCCAGAAAACTGCAGGGACTAGTCCAGGCAGTTGCCAGGAGCCAACACTGACTTGAAGGCAATACTACTACTACTACTACTACTACTACTACTACTACATTGAAACTGCTTTAGGAAAACAGGAAGATCAGAAGGGTTGCCATGTTGCTATGCTGCAGGAAGTAAGCAAGGAATAAAACCTTATCTTTGCTAGGGGGTTTTCTGCTGCCATAGCTTTGTAATACTGCTTTTCATTAATCTAACCATCCAGCCTGCCTAATTCTAGTCCTAGTTTTGTTAAAGATAGGGGGGGGGGGGAGGTGCAGTCTTTTACTGTTAGACTTTGTTTACATGGCTTCCTAGAAGAAGCAGCAGAGGGAGAGATGTAGGGTGATAATCCAGGCACATCATATGGAAGAATCCTGTGTTAGTATTTGCTTGTCTACCCCACTCCATTAGATGAAATATTATTTTCTTATCAATTGTTAACAGCATTTGTAACCCATCCTAGTCCCAAAGGATCCTGGGCAATGTGCAACATTTTGAAACTAAATTATAAACTGAAACCAAAGACAAATTCCAAATAAAGTAATAATGATGGATGGAGTTAGCAGAACAAACTAGTTGTTAGAGAACAAACTAGTTTGTTCTCCCTCTCTTCTTTTCCCCCATAGCTGACACAGATCAAAGAATAGCTCATTTTAGAGGTTTCTTGAAATTTATTTAGTTATTTTTTGGTGCCTTCAAGTCAGTCTTGACTCTTGGCAACTGCCTGGATAAGTCCATGCAGTTTTCTTGGCAAGATTTTGGAAGCGGTTTGCCATTGCCTGCTTCCTAGGGCTGAGAGAGAGTGACTGGTCCCAAATCACCCAGCTGGCTTTGTGCCTAAGGCGGGACTAGAACTCACGGTCTCCTAGTTTCTAGCCTGATGCCTTAACTGCTACACCAAAGTGGCTGTCTTTCTTGAAATTAGATTTTCTAATTTTGATTGCAGTATTCCATATCTTAAAGGCCACTGGGATGTTTGCAATCTGCAGAATGCACTTTTTCTAAAGAACAGGGGAGGATATAGACAAAAGGCAAGGAAGGAAGGAAGCTCCGTGGGCTTTTGGAAAGCAAGTAGAAAGAGTTTCACCTCAGGAGGCATATCTTTGCATTGTTTTGGATAAAGATTTTGAATAGCAGGGCAGGGAAAGGTCACGCCTTACCTTGATGACAGGTACTTCCGGTAAAAGAAGAGTTACAGGTAGTCTTTGATTTACAACTGTTTGAAGTTACAACAGAATTTAAAAAATGACTTATGACCAGTCCTTGCACTTATGACAGTTGCAGTGTCCTGCAGTCACGTGATCAAAATTCAGGCACTTGGCAACCGGCATTTATTTATGATGGTTGCAGTGTCCATGATTGCCATTTGTGACCGTCCCATGTGGCTTCTGACAAGCAAAGTCAATGGGGGAAGCCGGATTTGCTTAACAACTGTGTGATTCGCTTAACAACCGCGGCAAAAAAGTTAGTAAAATCGGGCGCGACTCGCTTAACAACCATATTGCTTAGCAATGGCAGTTCCAGTCCCAATTGTGGTTGTAAGTCAAGGACTACCTGCATAGTAGTTGGTCTCAGTTAATGGTGTTCCTCAGAACTTGATGGTTTGGCTTTCCTTTATCCCTGCATAGGAATGGTGTCCATCACCCCCAAATAGTTTATGAGTCAAGGGGATGGAATGTAAATCTGGAAGAAATCAGTCCAAAGGAACATACTCTAAACAAAATGAGAAAAGGCCTTAACCCAATAGTATCCAATACCAGAAGATCTTGAGTATGTATGCAGAGGCATAATCAAATCAGGAAAATACAAAACAGAATATTGGTGAATTCTCTTGAATTAGGGAGGCCTTATCAGAGAACTCCATCAATGAATTGAGAAAACTTATGTCACCTCTTTTTCACCTGTTTATAATCATGTATTTATTGGAAGGAGAAAATAGAAATAGTTCCTAAATGAATGGCTCATTGCGTCTCCCTCCCCTTCGTTGCAGCCAGCCAGTCAATTGATGGATACTTTGCCCCGTGAGCTTTGTCATTTATATCCCCACCCCCGGTATCCAGCCATCTGCCTCCTTTCCTGTAGATTAGACTTTGCTCTGAGATTTGTGTTATAATAGAGTTTCTACCAATTAATAGAAGTTAGGCCAAAACAAGAACACTCTGCCGCAATGTTTATTTATTTTACGATTAAATGATTAAAAACATTTTATTGTTTTCTGTAGCCAAAAAGTTTCCCAGAAGATCTTGCAAAGTTTCTCCTTCAGTCTTACACTCTCAAAGACATAGCCCATGAATAAAAGACTATGGGGTGAGAGGAGAGGAAAAAAGGTTTGGGCACCCATTCTTAAAATTACCGTTTTTATAACAACTCGCCTGGAGAAGCAATTCAAGTAGCCTTGTAAAATGACTCCCGAGAGATTAGATTTGGGGGTGATGCACGAGCAGCTGATCTCTTCGCAGAGGCAGTTGAATAGCATGTTGGAATGGCTGCCTAGATGCCAGTGTGGCTGGCAATAAGAACCCCAGAAAGCCTATCTCAGACTATCAAACTCTGGGTAAAGAAGAGGGCTGTTGCACTTGTAAACTGCTTGTAATCTACCCAGCAGCTTTTTCTGGCCCCATTTGGAAACCAGTTGCCGAACTAGATGGGCCTTTGACTGATCTGGCTTTCTTAGCTATGATTCATTTCCAAGTTCAGAAGCTGTGTATGTCTGAATATAAGTTGTTGGGGAGCAACAGCAGGGGAAGACTTTTTCTTATTTAAAACAGAGATATATTTCAAAAAAGGTATTGTCTATGGGTGGACAAATAGTTATGACAGTTGTACAATTAATGCCCAGTATAACATTAATAAAGGATACCAGGCAAAGTACATTGAGTTGTTTTTGTAATATTAAAAAGGAAGAAAGAAATATGAATTTTTTGAGCTTAGTAACAAAATCTTCACTAATTCCTATTTATAAATATTAAAAATAAAAGGAAAAAAAGAAAATCCCTAAAAACAAGATAGATAAATATTTGATTTTTGACTTCCCTCTTCTTTGTTCTCCAACCAATTTGCAGTATCCATTGGTGTAAACTTTAGAAACCACGCTCTAAATCAGTGTATCTCAACTTTGACAACTTGAAGATGTGTGGTCTTCAACTCCCAGAATTCCCCAGCCAGCCATGTCTGTTCTACATATTTGGACTTACCTTGCTGTGTAGTGTATAATATACACAGAAGCTATTCTTGCTTGAAGCTGTAGCTCTTTTCTTTTTCTTCTGTTTTTGAGCTTCTGAAAAGCATCTGGCTGAACAATGCTGAAAATGGGATGTAGGTCTAGAGAAGGGATTGTGGATACGGTATAGTACCCAAATTGTTCTTAAGAAGTATGTGTGTATGTGCGTGTGTGCGTCCGTTATATAGCCTTAGCTCTGAAATGTATTCGGTAACTTTGAAGTAACAGTAATATCAGTCCCAAAGGGTCTTGTGGCACCTTTCAGGTTGTGTGGGTATTAAATTAACATTTGTAAATAATATTCATATAATACACATGGCATAAATTTGTGTTGTCTGTTATCCAAGTACTTTTCCTGAGGACCTTACCATCTAACATTTGACCTGGAGGATCGATAGAGGAAGGAACGTTGAAAAAAGAAAGGTATATAGGGAAGCAGCATGCAGTTGTTTCATTGCACATGTCAAGATTTAGCTGTCAGCTGATTTTTTTCTTAGAGTGCAGGGGCCAAAAGCCTTGAAGAAACCATGGTTTTGGTTATACAGCGTATAAATCTCTTTTGGCTCTTTCCTGTCCATTTTCTTTCTTGTGCACTCAAACAGCTATTAAATTAACCTAACAAAATAAAAATAATAAAAGGTAAATTCAAAGGAGTGATTTGACAAGAGAGAGGCAGCATCATCACAGAGGTATTCTAGGAGAGAGTTGCAAATGTTCTGGGAAGCAGCAAGAGGATAAGAGCAGCCATCTTTGGAAATAGACTGATTTTGGACTGTCCGGGCGGTGCAGCCAGAGGAACAGAGGTTGCAGGACAGGGCTGTCTTGGAAGGGAAGGATTGGAGGGAAAAGAGGGAAAAGCCAAAAGAAGGCTTAAAAAGGATGGCGAAGTTATGATGAATCTGGAAAGAAAAAGGGAGGTGGATGACAGGAGGAGCCTCCAAGGGAAAGGGCATGACTTTGCCATTGGGATGGAAAGATGGAGGAGGTGAGACCACAGAAGAAAGTTACAGTAGTCAAGGGGAGAAATCAGTGCACAAACCAGAGATTTGATCAAGCAGGTCAGAACCATTTTCTTTAGCAGCATATTCTTAATTTCTCTATTTTTCTAGTAGGGAAGCTGAGGCTGAAAGGTGAGAGCTTTTCTGTTATATTCTTTGCTGACTGGTTTTCTTTTCATCTTCTTCTCTCTTGCCAGGAGAAGACACCCTCAACGCTGCCTGTCCTTTCTGCTGTTCCCCTGCCAACCCACGAGCTCAGAGCTTCACCCACCCACATTCAAAGCCCAGTTGAGAAGGAGGAAGGGCCATCGGTGACATCTCCCATATCTTCATTGGATGGTAGATATGGTTTGAGAGGGATGGAAAGAGACAAGGATGGTTGGGCTGAATTGGGCTGCTATTATAAAAGGACATGGGGGGTTCAAAGCCTAGCTGGCGATTGCAGTTGGAAAACCTGGCTGGTTTTAAGATGCCGCAACTTGTCACCTAAAGTGCTATCCACTTATTTCACTTTGCTTTTCTTGTTTCCCAGGTTCTAACAATCCAGGGCTTTTGGGTAGCCAGACACAGCCAGCGTGGAGTGGGAGTGGCAGTACTCGAAACCAGGATCTGCAGCTCCTAAAGCGCAGACCCACCGCAGGTAAATTTGAGCCCACACTTCTGTTACCCATCAGTCATTTTTACTCTTTCGTTTCGATAGAGAAACATTAAAAGAGCGAAATGGGTTCATGGCGCCTGATGGCGTGAATGTCAGCCTCCAGATAGATGTGCCTCTGTTTACTTGTGAAATAATTTCTTTATGAACATCATTTCTTCTCCTGTGTGTATACAATGCACTTGGGAAGTTCTTTGGAAGTGATGTCTTCTTGTGTCCTGCAACCCTGCTGTGGAATTTTGGAACCCTGTATCTGGCGATCTGGCTCACCCATAAACTATGCCATAAAACATTATAGCAATCTGCTATTTTCAAATGCCGGGTTGGTATATTAAGAAGTCCAGGCAAGTAACTTAATTTGGAAAGCATTTTATGATCTCTAGCCTGAAGGGAGAGGCCACTTTTGTTCACATCTTAAAGAGGGGGGAAATTGAGGCTGGGAAAACGGCTGTCTGGCATCTCACAAACCAGTTCTCATCAGGGATAGAAACGTGAGCCCAGGATCAGCTCAACTCCAAGTCCACCTGTGGCTCCCTTAATCCGCAGACATCTCAAAGGGGCCTGCGCAATTCATTTGAAAGGAAAGCAGTCCTGCTTCTATTCTTTCTCGCCATTCCAGGGAAACGTTACCAGTGCTCAGGGGATGGCTGCCGGCTGGCCTGTCGCAGCATGAAGGAACTTCTTGACCACATGCAGGTCCACTATCGGCCCACCGAGTCCCTTGAGGGTAAGGCTGACTTTTCTAGCTTTTCTATGGGGGTGGGGTGGGGGTAGTACAGATCAGGAGAAGAGGAAGACTAGGGAGACCCGTGAAAGATTGTGCTGCATTGTTTCTTCTTTCTTGCATTTTCCAGCACAGGAACATAGGTAGTTGCCTTTAATTCTTATATATCAGTCTATTTGTGTATCTAAGCCAGGGGTGCAGAAGCCTACAGAGTAGAGTGTCTTGCTGTGTTTTTTTACCCTCTCCCTTGAGAGTCAGCAGAGGGTTCATCTTCTGCTGGGAAGAATGGCAGAAGAAACACCGTGATTTTCCTCTTGCTAGTTGTGGATAAAATGGGAGCATCCTTCTTCTCTGTTCTTCCCACCAAAGGAGGGGAAGACTGCTACAGGGCAAGGGAGGGTGTGCGTGGGGATTGTCTGCTGCATTTGTGCCCCCTCAACATTTGATGTGGGACTGGAAAAGTTGTGCACTGCTGATGTAGAATAACATTGTCTCCCTTGACCAACAGTTTCTCCCCGTACTGTTGTGCATTTCACAACCCTGTTAGTTGTGATTCTTTTAACTGGAAATATTGCGGACTCGGGTGTCTGCATGTAAAGCCTGTGCTTTGCTGCTGAGTGAATGCCTTTATATAAACATAGAGACACCTTTACACAACTTATTCATGATAGCTATAGGTTACGTGTGTGTTTTATAAAGGGCGTATATTAAAAATGCAGCACCAGTATTCTGTTTCCAAAAGTAGCCAGTCAGATACTTCTCGGGGCATTCAGGAGTGCCACAAAGGCATCTGTTCTATGTTATTGCATATCGCCCCCCATTCACATGCTGTTACTAAATAGAGACTTGATATAATCAGCAGGATTCATAAAATAATAATATCCCTCCTCTGATCCTACCTGAAAGACAGGCCATCCTTTCTCTTGTGATAGTGTTCCATAACTCATTTATTTATAAAGTCATATGAGGAACGACTTGAATGGACAAATCCATCTTGTTTTTAAAAATAGTCACCCTCAAGTTGAACTCCACTTCTGTTGACCACACATCCATGTCCTTGTTGTTCTTTTGGCAAAATTTTTTCCAGGATGTTTTTTAGATTTCCCAGTTTAGATGACATCTCTGAGATTTCCTGATGGCCTTCTATTTAGGTACTACTTAAATAGTAATTAATTCTGTTTACTGTTGAAAATCAGCCAAGGTCAGCTAGGTGCTGCCATCTTTTGGGCCCTCGTATTTAACAGGCTGTCTGAAATTCTCCTTCCGCAAACCAAAGTCTGGGCAAGGGATCAGGACTTGTAATGGTAGGGGGGAATGACTCTGGGAGACAGGAGGAAGAGCTGCAGCTTAGATAGTGGTCTGATAAACAAAATCTGAGTCCGAAGAAGGGATGAGGGTGGAGAAAGCATCTCCAAAGGGACCCTCCCTAGTTTTGGGGAGAGTAAAAGTAAGGGAGAGGAGAAGTACTTTCAGACTTGCAAGATTCTGTTACTGTAACCTTACCATAAAGGTAGCATTAGTATTCCTGGTTGGTGGTTCTTGCCTAGACTACCTCAAAGGGCTGACAAGACTGGAGCAAATAGGTCGTCTCTAATTAAAGACCTGGCTCTTCACCCAGGCCTTTTGCAAGTGTGATGGGAGCCCCTGTTTCTTCTTTTTCTTTTTCTAATCCTATCTGGGTTAATTATCTTTGCCATCTTTGCTCTTTTTTGTTTTATGTTGTTTTCTTGTTTTAAATTTTTTTTTAACATGTTGTAAACTGTCCAGAGTTGTTGGAAGTTGGGTAGCATATATATTTAATAAACCAATAAATAAAGCTACAGATCCACTGAACTGCTGGGTTTCTCTTAGGAAAGACATTCCGCTGCTCCACTCTGGGTTGCATGGAATCGTTCCCCAACATGGAAAACCTGATGAGTCACATGAAGGTGCATTACAAGCCCAACCGCTACTTCAAGTAAGACCCTGCTTGGCTGTTAGTTTATTTTTGTTAAACATGCATATTTATTTTAACAAATGCTCTGGAAAAGAATGGAGCGTGGTGTGCTAATGAAAATCAGGTCAAAATTAAATAGGTCTCTCTCCAATTCTCTCTTCTCTTTCTCATGTGTTTGAATCCCCAGTGAAATATAAAGCTTGGCAAGTGAATGTGGGGCAATTCACTGTCAGCTTAATCTGCATTATAGGATGATTGTTAGGATAAACATCTACAGTAAGTGGCTCTGATGGGATTCGGAAAGGTGAGAGGAATGTAATAAACAGCTAGTCAGCATGCTGGCTGGGGGATACTGGGAGTTGAAATCTACATACAGTGGTACCTCGGGATACGAACGCCTCTACTAACGAACTTTTCGGGTTACGACCAGCTCCAGCTGCAAAAATTTACCTCGATGTGCGAACTCCACCTCGGGGTACGGCCATTTTTCCGCCCTGACACGTGGTCTGCGGCCATTTTCCCGCCCCTGACACGTGGTTCGCGGCCGTTTTCCCGCCGCTCTGCACGGCACCCAGCCGTTTTCCCGCCGTGCCGCACGGCGCCTGGCCGTTTTCCCGCCGTGTGGCACCCCGCCGTTTTCCTGCCCCGCCGTGCTGCGCCCGGCCGTTTTCCTGCCACACCGTGCTGCGCCCGGCCGTTTTCCTGCCACACCGTGCTGCGCCCGGCCGTTTTCCTGCCACACCGTGCTGCGCCCGGCCGTTTTCCTGCCACACCGTGCTGCGCCCGGCCGTTTTCCTGCCACACCGGGCTGCGCCCGGCTGTTTTCCTGCCGTGCTGCGCTGCGCCCAGCCGTTTTCCCGCCCCTGACGCGTGGTCCGCAGACGCAAGAATGGATTAACGGTAATTACATTGAACCTTATGGGAAAATTTGCTTCAGGGTGCGACCAAATTCGGAGGGCAGAACGGATTAACCGGATTTACATTGAACCCTATGGGGAAATTTGCGTCGGGTTACGACCAACTCGGGATACGCCCAGACTCACGGAACGGATTAAGTTTGTATCCCGAGGTACCACTGTATCTTAAGGTTGCCAAGGTTGAAAAATACTGAACTAAATGCTTTTTTCCTTACAACTACCACAGAACAGATCACCCTCCCCAAGTGGCCCCCTTCCGTAAAGGGCAAAAGGTTGGTTCCCCTCCCAACCCCCGGCCTTCTATTCTATTCATCCTCCCATGAATATATGTGGATTAGAGGCTCCCAAAGGTGGTTGGGCAAAGAGGGAACCTGCCTTAAAGGGGATAAAGAGGAATTCAGGCAGGTGAAGTCTAAGACTGAGAAGTCCACACAGAATATAAGGACTAGAAATTACCTTGGAGATCATCTAGGCTGACAAATTCTGGGAATTGAAGTCCACGCATCTTAAAGTGGCCAAGTTCGAAAAACATTGATCTGGGCCAGTCCCCTGCCCAGTGCCACTATTGCATCCCTGTCAGATTGCCATCCTGCACTTGTTTAAACGCTCCACTGAAGCAGAGTCCACCATTTCCTGAGGCAATCTGTTGTTATTGTTGTTCAGTCGTTAAGTCGTGTCCGACTCTTCGTGACCCCATGAACCATATCGTGCCAGGCCTTCCTG